ACCTCAAAAAGACATTTTTCCAAAAAAGACATACAGATGCCCAACAGACATATGAAAAGATGCTCAACATCACTAATCATCAGAGAAATGCAATCAAAACCACAGTATCACCTCACATCTGTGTCAGAAGGCTGTCATCAAGACAAGTAACCAGTGTTGGTGAGCATGTGGAGGAAGGGAACCCTCTTGCATTGTTGGTGGGAATGTAAATTGGTACAACCACCATGGAAAACAGCATGGAGTTTCCTCAAAAAATTAAAAATGGAACTACCATACAATCCAGTAATTCCACGTCTGGGTATTTTTCCAACAAGAACACTAATTCAGTTAGATATATGCACCCTGTGTTCCTTGCAGCATTATTTACAATAGCCAAGATATGGAAGCAACCTGTCTATGGTTGTGTGTGTGTGTGTGTGTGTGTGTGTGTGTGTGTGTATGTACATATATATGTAATTCAGTCATAAAAAAGAAAAATCTTGCCATTTGTGACAACATGGATGGACCTAGAGGGTATTTTGCTACATGAAATAAGTCAGAGAGAGAGAAAACTACCATATGGTTTCACTTATATGTGGAACCTAAAAAACAAATGAACATACATTATAAAACAGATTCCTAGATGCAGAGAACAAACAGGTCATTCTTACAGTGCAGGGGGCTGGGGGATGAGTGAAATAAGTGAGGGAGATTAAGAAGTACAAACTTCCAGTTGCAATAGAGTCATGGGGATGAAATGGACAGCATTGGGAATATAATCAATAATATTGTAATATCTTTGTATGATGACAGATGGTAACTAGACTTATCGTGCTTATCATTTTGTAATATACAGAAATATCAAATCACTATGTTGTGCACCTGCAAAAAAATAAAAATTTTTAAATGTTTTTTGGTATTCTAGTTTACTGCCTCTATTGGCTTTACAGCCACACCTTATAAAATTCTCTAGTTGCTGTAAGGAATACATTTATTGCAGTTTACCTTAAATAACATACCACTTCCAGTGTAATATACACATCTTATAAATGTGTACTTCCATTCATCCCATTACTTATAATTATCACGTATTTTACTTATACATGTCCTTAGTTCTTAATTTCTGCTTTAAATTTTCTTCTGGTTAAACACTGTCATTTTCATTTTAATAGTCAATTAGATTTTAAATAATTTAAGGAATTAGAAAAATAATTTAAAATTTTCATTTCTGGGATTTCTTTCCTTCATGTAGATATATGTTTCACCAGATATCACTACCTTCAATGTGAAGAAACTCCTTTAAGATTTCTTGTAGTGCATATCTCCTGGTATCACATTTTTTCAGTTTTCATTATAGGATATTTTCACTGGATATAGAATTTTAGTTTGACACCCTTTTTTAAACTTCAGCACTTTAAAGACATTGTTCCACTGTCTTCTTGATTACATTTTTCTGGTAAGTTGTTCATTCTTCTTATTGTTGACTGCTAAGTGTCAAACTCTGCTTTTTAAAATTTCTCATCTTTTTCAGCAATTGATCAGTTTCCTTTTATTTATCCTGTTTGCAGCTTTCCTGGATCTGAGTTATTATTTTTTAAATCAAATTTGTAAAATTTATAATCTTTATTTTTCCATATATATTTTTCTGCTCCACTCTTCCTCTCCTGGATCCAACTATACAGGTTAGACCACTTGTTATTTATCTCATATGTCAGGTTTTTTTTCTTTTTTTAAATCGTTTTGCTATGCTTTAGTTCCAATTAACCTATCAAGTTCATTGATCTTTTCTTCTATAGTGTCTTGTATATTTTTATGCCCATGTAGTGAATTTTTCATTTAAGAATGTATTTTTCAGCTGTAGAATATATGGGTTTGTCTTTGTTTTTTGTTTTTGTTGTTCTGAAACTCACCACCTATTCACTCAATGTAAACCTTTTTCTTTAATATTTTAAACATTTATATAGTAGCTTTTAAAGTGCTGTCTGCTATTTGTAACATCTGTGACAACTCTGGATCTATTTTTTTTTTTTTTTTTTTTTTTTTTTTTTTTTTTTT